AAGTGGTGCATCTAACCTTGTCTCAGACTGCTAAGTAGAGGGACTTATTATTAAACCTTATTCTGCTTAATGTGAAAAAGAAAGACAAAAAACTAGATTCAGTAAAATTGCTTTGCGTGTGTCTACTGTTGCCCTTTCCCTTCGTGGAAATTCGTTCTTCTGGATGCCAAGAACTGCGGAGCTTTTCCGGTTGAGCAGCCGCTGAAACGGTCGGCTCGTGTTTCAGAGCCAAGTAGTTTGAGAAATTCCAGGGTTGTCCCTTCAAGCACCAGACTCCCTCTTGGCACCCCGGGACGAGGCTGTGGGGTGGGGTCTGCGCTGCCGGCCCCCGCGCTCTGAGGGCCGCGCCCGGGGAGGGCAGGGCAGGGGGTCTGTCCTCGCTCCTGTGTGAGGTACTGCTCTGCCCGGTGCTGTGGAGCTGGCAGACGGCTACAGTGACCGCTGCTGAGCAGTCGTGTTCTGCATATGGAAATTTCTGCCCCGTCCTGGTTCCTGGTTTTCCGGGTGCAGCATGGAGGAGGGGAACGGGCAACGACCTGAGAGACCTGGGTTCAAATCCCAGACTGAAATCCTAGCGGTTGTGAAACCATTGGCAAGTCGGTCAACTTCTCTTCTCCTCCTGTACTCCGGGTGACAGTGCCCTGTGAGGGTGACTAAGTGCCAGTGGAACTCCTGGCACCCCCCAGAGCCCAACAGGCGTGTTCTCCTCTCCCCCACCCCACGCCATTTTGTTTTTTGCTGCCATGTGGGTCCATTTTTCCAATATTCATCATTAGCATCTCTTCTTTCCTCCCCCATGTGCAGAATCTCCAGAAATGTTATCGGAGCCACCATTTGAGAGGGACCTTAACTCACTTAGTCTAACCTCTCATTTTAGAGCTGAGCAAGATGAAGCCCAGAGAGTTCCAGTAACTTGGCTGAGACCACACAGCTAAGGTGGTAGTCACAGTTGATCGAGATTTCCAGGTCTCCTAACACTGGATCTAGATCTAATTTGGTTTATTCTTTCATTCTTTCAAGCATTCAGTCATCTAACACTCTGTTGAGACATGTCAGGCACTGTCCTGAGCACAGGGGAATGCTGGATGAGCCCATCCCAGCGGGAAGGGCATGGCTGCCTCTGGGGATAGGAGGGCATGTGCCCCGCTCCACGATGCCCACGAGGGCGCCCTGCCCGCCTGTGCTTGCATCTAAGCCTAGCCCTGCCTCCTTGGGAAAGCAGCCGGGGGCACGTAGCCTCTGGGCCAGCCTGGGAGGAGCAAACCTGGGTCGAAGGAGGTGAATGTGCCATTCGGGGACCTGCCTGTGTTTTCACCTTCTTTAGCAATCAAAGTAGTCAAAATCCACTTTTACTGCAAAAAATATGACTGATCCCTTGTTTGAAAGTGCTTTCTAATTTTGAAAAGTGCTTTTCCCTCTGGAGTTTGTAGGGTCCAACAGCTGTGTTGGATGAATAACCCGTTTATCATTTATATCAAGGACTGCCCATGTCAGAAAGCTCTGTTTCTTGAGAAATAAAGAGAATACGAGATTAGTTCTCATCTGAGACCACCGGCAACTGTCCCAGCATGGCAGTCAACACCCACCACCCGCCCATCCTTCAGCACAGCAGTTACAGGAGGATAAAGACCCCGAGGGACAGCCCGGAGGCCCCGGCGGGAAAAGCGATGCTGGCCTCCTGGGGTGACGCCTCCACCTCTGCGGATCCTGGGCCTGAGCACAGTTTGACGGTGGGCCCCACCTCTCTGGACTCGACCCTGACTTCCCGCGAGTGCCGAGGATCCCGAACGACCCCGTAACCAACACCGGTGCTGTTCGTTCTTAGCCAGCGCTCTGTGCGCACCAGGCTTCCCTCCTGCGGGTTGGGCTCGTGTGCAGACGAGTGACAAGAGTGCACACTCAGGCTCCGCAGGGGCGACTGCAGGGGAGGGTGGCAGGGAGGCGGCCCCTGGAGGAAGCTGTGCTCCGTGGGGGAGCTGGGGTTTATGGTCCCGGCTCAGCCTGCTTGCTTCCCTTCACACCACCCTGTCTTCACTCTCGCGGATGCTCTTTTGTTTCACACGGGTGCGTCTGATTTGCAGAAAGACGTGGAATTATATAAGCTGGTCATTTAGCAGGAGGTGTTGTCGGGGGGGAAACAGGCTCATTCTAAGGAGATCCCTACCCAACATTGTAAAGAAACAGAAATCTGTGGAGCACGTCCTGAGGGGCAAAGAAGGATCTCTTGTCCAAAACTTCAAAAGCACAAAACAAAAAATTGATAAACTTAATTATATAAAAATTAAGGATTTCTATTCAACGAACAACATGATAGACAATTTTTTTTTGAGGAAGATCAGCCCTAAGCTAACATCTGCTGCCAATCCTCCTCTTTTTGCTGAGGAAGACTGGCCCTGAGCTAACATCTGTCCCCATCTTCCTCTAGTTTATACGTGGGATGTCTACCACAGCATGGCTTGACAAGCGGTGCCATGTCCACACCCAGGATCTGAACAGGTGAACCCCGGGCCACTGAAGTGGAACATGAGAACTTAACCACTGCGCCACCAGGCCGGCCCCATGATAGACAATTTTAACAGATACACAAAGGATTGGAAAATTCTGTTGCAATGTCCCAAGCCAACAAGGGTCGACTCTCATTCTAGAATATAGAAGGAACTCACGAAAATCAATAAAAAAATATAGAAACCCTGTTAAATAAAAGGGCAGAGAATTTGAAAGACAGTTTTCAGAAGAGGAGTCCCAGAAGGATTAACACACATATGAAAACATACTTATGTCACTAATAAATCAGTGATCAGTAATGTTTAATTGGCAGGTAGATGCCAATCAAACAACACTTGGGTGTCACTTTACACATGTTAGATGAAAATCAGAAATCTAGGTGACACCCAGTGTCGGGGGGCAGGTAGAGCTGCACGGTCCTCCTGTGGGGGCGCCACCTGGCGCTATGCAGCTGGGTTAAATACACAGGCCCTGTGACGCAGAGACCGCCCGCAGGTGAGCACCCACAGGAACTCTCCCGCGGGCCCTGGAGGAGGCTGGAGGACACCGCTGTGGAGGGCAGAGGCGGCGGGGGAGGAGGTAAGAGCCACAGGACCCTTGGACACGCGCAGGTAGGGCAGTGGACGGACTCGCGCACGGAGACTGGGAGGGACTTCAAAATGCTGCCTGAGTGGAAAACAGACAGATGAAACAAATTAAGATAGTTGGGAGGGGCCAGGACTGGGGATGAAAGGAAACGGACAGCCAGGCCGAACCTCCGAGGGTGCATCGTCCTCACCTGGGCCCGCAGAGGGTGACAGGTCGTGACAGAGGGCGGGGCGGGGGGGGTGGAGCGGGCAACGCACACCCCCCACCTAGCTTGAGCTGGATGCCTGACACTCTGCAGTTGCTTAATGTTTCATGAATGACTGAATAAAAGTCTGACTGATGGCGTCATCCAGGATTTCCCCAGTCCCCCGATGTCACTCTCCTGGGGATCCACAGCTGCCTCGGCCCTGGGGAGGAGGTGGACGCATCCTACCCATTCTAACTACGACTTTTCTACTAAAAAATAAAATGCCAAATTGCCTGCCTAGAGGACACGGTTAATTTGTTTGGTCCTAAGAGAGACATATATAAAGGCTGACGCTGGACCAGGTGTCTCCCCGCCGTCTGGCAGTTTATTGGCACAAATTCTTACATAACATTTGGTATAATGTATTGTCGCCGCGTTTTATTCACTCTCGGAAAGTCAGTCTTGCTCACAACGGCACTTGACTCCTCTCAGTAAGGGCCAGCCAAGGAGTTCTCTGCAGACGAACCTCAGATTCACGCCCAGTTTTCTGCATTTGATGGGTCAACTCCTTCAGCATCAGGGGAGATGTGGTGATGAGCGCACAGCCCATACGCAGCACAGGAATTTACCTGTTGCTGCTTCATCTGTTCTCTTCTGCTTCCGTGTCTTTCTCCTCTCTCTTCCTTAATCTTCTTGACGTTTGTCCCAGTTTTACCTTCCTATTGGCCTAAATCAGGTTTCCCAGCCTCGGTAGTTTGGGCCCGATGTTTGTGTGGGGCCGTCGCCTGCACTGTCGGGTGTCGAGCAGCATCCCCGGCCTCGACCCACAGCTGCCAGTGCCCCCCAGTCTCCAGACACTGCCCGCTGTCTCCTGGGTGCAGAATCGCCCTGGTTGGAGCCGCTGGCCTAGACAACGAACTTGGGACACATCTGAATTTCTGTACAAACCTATCGTAGAAATGGCCTTGCTTGTTTCCAGGATACAAGACCCAAAATCCCACCTGCTGCTCCGTGAGAGAAGTGTCCCAAACTAGGAGCTCAGAGGAGATCATGCCGGGTGACTGTCTGGCCACATCTACCCAAGGAGAAAGGAGGACTTGGGCCCATTTTCTGAATTAATTCAGAAACAAAATGAAACAGAAACTGAGCCTCCAGTCTGAGGGCACCGAGTCATCAGGGCAAACACGGTTTCTGTGCCGTTTTCCGGGGCGGTGGCTTCAGTGTCCTGTGCCATCAGCCGAGGGAGGGTCTGGGGGAGGTGCCTGCCACTGGGGTCGTGTCTCCGAAGCTTTGCCAGTGGGTTGGGGTCCTCCTTCTGGGTTTTCGAGATTGCACTCGGAGGACAATCCTGGTATTCTTGAATTGCGTCTTTCGACTCAGTGGCCATTTCAGCAGAAAAGACTGTCCTCAAAATCAGGGTTCTTCGAACTAAGAGAAACAGAAAGCGTGCAAAACAATGGGGGATCCTTCTGAGATGGTTGGACGAGGTAAAGCGAGGGGAGTCCTTGGGCATGACTATTATACCACGTGCCCCAGAAGACGCCGCTGCTCACGTGGATGGCAACCCTGGAGAGGCCCGTGCAGGGGATCGGATCCTGATGCGGCTCTTGCTGAGGAGTTTTTATAGCTGAGTTACTGTTCCTAACGACCTCACCCAGGACCAGCCGTGGGGAGATGAGGTGACCTGGGGGGTGCTCCAGAACCAGGGCCGCGAGTCCTCCACAGTTACCGTGGAAAGAACACAGCAATCGATTTTTGTCAGCTCCACGTTTTGACTGAGGGGGTGATACACGTGGTGGGTCAGAGAGGAATTCGCCGCCTGTGACGAGGCCTGGGACCCTGTGGGGAGTGAAGGGAGGATGAAAAACGCTGGAGAGAGGGAAGACATGGGCGACGTTGGGAGCATGTGAGAGAGAACAAGAAGAAGCCAAAAGAGAAATGGAAGCTTCCTGAAGGAAAGAGGATGGAAGCCTGGAGGGCACGGCGTCCTGACTGGGGCAGAGGGAGAAGTCTTTATCTCTGCAGTTGGGGGTGAATCCACAGGGGCTTCAGTCCCCTCACGTCCTCCATCCCCCAGGGCTGCTGGCGCTCCAGCCTTTGCATACAAACTCCCTCACAACGGCTATGGGACAGTGCAGAGAAGGGCCCATTTCACAGATGAGAGTATGAGATTCAGAGGACGGGCCATTCAAGTTCATAAAGCCACCTGGAGGGAGTAACTTGTAGGCCAGTTTTGTTGTCATTCCGTGACACCACACGGCAGAGGACACGGGCATCTGGAAGGTTCTCCCTGGAGGGCAGGGAGAGGGCAGCAGGGCCTGGCCTCACTGCACTCTGTGACATTCAATGCAGGGCTGAGTCCTGTTCTTGGAATGGAATGGGCCAGAAAGACGAGGCCCCCAGGCCATGTGACCATTCATGGGGTAGGGGCGTGGGGTGGAACTTTCCAGAGCTCAGGAGAAAATGGGCTGGTAGGTGATGAAATCAGGCCCCTGAGAAGAAGTCATTTTGTTTTTGCAACTTTGGCCTGTGTTGGGTAAAAACTCATTTTAGAACGAACAGAGAATTTCTTCATCTTATCCAGGCGTTTGCTGGCTGGAGCTTGCAGCTGAATTCAACCACCTGGGCTCAGTGAATGAGTCATTATTCAGTTTTCATTCAAGGAGGAAATGGAGGCCGCCTAAGATTGTGATGAAATATTGAGGAAACTAAATAATTCTCTGCACAAAGGTGCGTAAGGGATGGATAGAAGCAGAGAGAAATGGACATGCTCTCAGTCCTCCACAAAATATATGATTCCATTTGTGCATAATCTGTCTCCTTGGATTTGGGAAAAAAATTGGTTATATTTCAAAAGTAGCTAAGTAGAAACTTATTTGAATTTGAGCCGTGGATAGAGCCAAGGAGCAAACAGGGACATTAGGAGGCTGTGACGGGGGCGGTGGGGGTCCCGCCTCTCGGCCGTGTTCACTGATCAGTCTCTGCCCAGGGCTCCAGGAACATCGGGGCCTTCCCAGGGGCTAGCACTATGGAGCAACAGGACGACTATTGGTGTGTACATTTCTCTTAATATGATTTCCCTTGAGTCCTTTGAGAGAAGCCAGTTAAAGTAAATGTAGCTGCTGCCATGCAGCTGGGTGGCCTGGCGGGATGTGACATCTTGCTAATGGTAACTCTGCACATTGGGAGGAGCTAGGGAGGGAAGGGGGGTCCTGCCACCTGTCTTCTGTCACAAAGGTGAGGAGGAGCCAGGCAGGGCTCCGAGGTGGAGCCCGCCCTCCCGTGCGAATGCACAAAGGCGCAGGTGGACTCATGCAGGGAGGACTGGAGGGGCCTTGAGGCTGGACAGACTGAGGCACAGCTCCCTTGGGACATCCCCAGAGTTCTGCACACATTGCTGGCAGACTCGGGGCCTTACAGATGTGTGGCACAGAGAGGGAGCGCTGGAGAGGGTGGGCTCCTGCATCAGACAAGCCTGGGTTTGGATCCAGCCCTGCCCCTTCCTGGCCACGTGGTTTTAGTCACATTACCCTGCTTCTTCAAAGCCTGTCTCCTCCATCTTTAAGATGGATTGGCTAGTGTGTGAGCTCACAGGATTCCCGTGAGGATTGGCGAGGTCACGCATGGAGCACCCAGCGAGTGGATGCTCTCAGGGTTATTTTATTCCTGGAGCCATGCGGACTCAAGCTTCATCATTTGACAGAAACAGTGAGAGCAACACTCATGGGACATGGCCTTTCAGACAAGCTGGGAGCCCCAGGAACAGCCCCCCAGGAGCTCCTTGGAGGGAGCCAGTCAGCGTCCCATCCCCACCGTGCAGTCCTGGACCCCTCAACCTTCCAGCTCTGATTTCCTATCCTGGCCCAAACACCCCGCAGACACAGAACTGGTCCCACGTGGTGACACGGTTGGGATTTTGCTTTAGGTGTTTACTTACAGGTTTGAGCCTTGCTATCCTTTGGTTCTGTAGTGTTTGGTTGTTCAGGTCCATGTCTCTTGGCTTCAGTTTCCCCCCACGTTCACGACCAAAGAAAGGATGCAGAAATCACTGCCTGTGGCTGCTAGGGTGAGTGGGGTACTGTTGACTCCCACACCCTCCTCCATGCTCCTGCATCCTCCTCTGCCCTCCTGCACCCTCCCAAACCCTCCTCAACCCTGCCGCATCCTCCCGCATTCTCCCACAGAGTGGCTGGAAGGTGTCAGGCGGGTCTGTCAACATCCTTGATTGTTCTGTTGGAGGCTTTCCCATGCCTCCTACCACGAAAACCACGGCCAGAAGTGAGCAGTAGATCTGCCAAGAGAGAATATTATCACTCAGAGGTGGGACAGGTCAGCGTCACCAGAGACCAGGGCGAACAGAGGGTGAGGGAATAAAGGGCAGAGGGACGAGAAGTCCTGGAAGTCGGAAAGGAGACTGAGAGGGATGAAGCTTTCAGACGCCGAGCAGGCTCAGGAATTAGGAAGTGATGATCGTTTAGAAAGTGGGAGTGAAATGGTCAGAAAGCCTCCAAAGAAGAGGCGTAATGAAGGAGCGGCGTTTGAGGTGTTATGCGATCCGTTGCCCTGTCTTTATAAGTGAAGAAAGGAAGAAAACAAGTGCTCGAAGTAGGGAATCCTTTGTCTCCCTAGCGGCAAAACCGGGGGGTTGGACCGTGATCTACTGGCCCTCTCCAAGGCCGACAGCCTGTGAACTTATAAGTCATTTACGCGTATTGTTAAGACCTCTTATTTGGTTAGGATGCACCCATGTGGTCCGCGTAATTTCCCTGAAAGCCACATGGTGAGGGATGGCGTGAATGCGCTTGGTTTTCCCAGTTCTCAAAAAGTCAGGATCATAATGCCTTTCAGAGTCTTCGGTAGCTTATACAGTGTGACAGTCTCTTAGAAACTGGCCAGCCCCCAGGTACGTCCGGAACTAATGCTAAACTTTGGGAAGTAAGGAGCCGGGCTAGAACCAGGTCCTGGAACTTTCTGGCATTCCTTTGGGTGATCCCTCCATCGGCTCGTCGTTAAATTCTATGATATCTGTTTCCTTGGTGTCCAGGTTTTCCACTAAATACAGCACATCAGGGGACACCTGGGGGCCAGCCGCCACGTTGATGCCACTGGTCTCTGAGGACGTCTCTGTGTCTATTAAAAGAGCCAGCTCAGGGCCCATGGGCTCTGGCTGCAGGCTCTCCGGCAGGCTCCACCTCTTCAGGAGCTGCTCCTTCTCGCCAGCAGCTTCCTCAGAGGCAAACTCGGGGATGTTTCTCTCAGCTCTGGCTGAAACAGCCTGGGGACTGGGGCCTCCAGGAGGCGTCCCCTTCTCTGAGGAGGACAGGGACTGTCCCACAGGGTCCTCCTGCTGCCCTGGCCCGCTTGGCTGAACCCCCGTGAAGTCAGAGCTCCTGATGGAGGTGGTGGAGTCGTGGTGGTGGCCCTCGGCCATGGGCCCTGGCACGGCGACCAGGACCTCAGGGACCGGGGGCATCTTGGTGGGGGAGGGCCTCACCGTGGACTGCGGGGTCAGGCTCTGTGCGGTGCTAGTCCCGCTGGTCTCCCCGATGGTGGGCAGTTCCCCCAGGCTGCAGCGCAGCTTGGGGCTCCCCTCTGGGGAGCAGGATTGCTTCCGGGTGGCTGGGCTGCGGTGGCGGCTTCTGGAGGGCATGTCCAGCAGGTCCCGGGTTGGGCTGAGGTCGCTGGGGGGGAGGAACATGGAGCTGTCGCTGGCCTGCCTCCCGTAGCGCGTCCTCTGGGGACTGGAGGGGTGCTCGTGGGTACTCAGGAACCTCTTGACTCTCCTGATGACTGAGCGGCGGTGGCCCGGCTTCTCGTAGTCCCAGAGCCACTCCTCACTGGGAATGGCGGACCCCGACAGCCTGAAACACAAGGACCTCATGAAGGCGGGCGGCTCTGGCCGACTCTGGGGTGGATCAGAGTTAAGGACCTGTTTGCTGTTTCCGTATTCCAGACTTGGAAACGGGGTGTGAGGGGCATGTGACTTGAGATAGTTGAGCAGAATTTCTCAAACTTTTTGGTCACAGGACCTTCTAAACTCTTAAAAATTACTGAGTTCCCAAAGCGATGTGTTCATGTGGGTTATAGCCATTTCTCTCCACCCTATTAGAAGTGATGACTGAGGAATATGAAAACACAAGGACGTGCAGGCCGCATTCCATTAACTGCTAAGTGATGACATCACCACGTAGCCTGGAGCCTCTGCACGACCCCACCGTGCACTCAGAAAGATGAGAGGGGAAAAAGGCGAATGGCGTTCTAGTGCGCTTACAAAAATAGTTTGACCTTAAGGACTTGGTCCTTGGGGTCTTAGATTTGGAAGATCTACAAGGGCCCCCAGACCACACTTGAGAATCAGTGATCTAGAGGCTTGGATGTTTGAAAAAAAAGTATAGTATGTCTTCTTTCTCCCTTATTACAGGTGAACTAAGGTTGTGGTTTCCCAGGACACACAAAATCCCCCAAAACGATGGATCATCGCTAAATTCAAGACAGCGGGAATAACAGCTGATGTTTCCTGCCGAGGCCCCTCCCACACATCATTTCCTCTCGTTATCACAGTAATCGTGTGAGCTGGTGTTATTATTGTCCACAGTTTACGGATGAGGAAACTGAGGCCTGGAGAGATTCAACAAGGCTGTGCATCCAGAGAGGCCACACCCAGAGCTCAGACTCCAGAGCGTTTGTTCTCAGTCCCTTCCACGTAAAGTGCTACGGTGGCGTCAGTGACGTGCTGGAGTCGGGACGCACGGCGGGTAAAGGATGGCCCTGCCTGAGGTACCACAGTCGGCCCTGGTCCACGCTCTGCACTCCTATCTGCTCACTTAGGGTTAAGGAGGAGGAAACGGGGCCCTGTGGAGAGTCACCCCCGTGGGGGTGGCGTGCTCTTGCGTGTGCTGGACTCCCCTTGTGATTACGTTTGTTGGATTTGCCATTGCTAGGAATTTCTTGTTGAATTTTCAACATTTAAGACACAAAACAAATAATCCTACCATTTTTAATCTTTCCCTTCAAGGCTGAAATAAAAGGGATCACTGGGCTGACGGTAGGAGCTACTGAGTGTGAGGCCTCCTCCTGCCTCAGACGGCACGGTCTCCACTCTCTCGCTCTGTGGGGTCACAGTCTGAACGAGGAACTACCCAGAGCCTGGCCTCCAACCACGAGCGCTCGCGCTGGCTCCAGGAGCAGGCGGGAGCGGCCGTCCTGGTCCAGTGTTCGCACTGATGACCACGGCGACAGGACGCTTTAACCAAGCAGGTGCATTGCATGTGACGTGAGGGAAAAGCCGGGACAGCATAAAAGCTGGGACTGGAAATGGCAGAGTAAGCAGCCAAAGAAAACGTTGTTCCTCATGTTTATGAATAAAAGACGGATGACTGAGACGACTAACTGGCTAAATGTCCGGGACAGCATCCAGTTACAACCTGGTGCTCGTACCCTAAGGCCCCAGCAGTGCCCTTGGCCGCCACACAGCCTCCTGGCCACCTCCACGGGGCCCGGCTCGGGTTCCATCACACCGACGTGAGGAACGCAGACGCCGGCCCCAGCGGCCTCAGTGACCCTGGCGGTGGATCCCTCAGGTTGGGTCTCCATCACACTTCAGGAATCCATTTAGGGCTGGAGGACACTGGAGGACCCTTAGGGGAGCACCTGTGTGTCCTCGAGTCCAAGGTGGAACTGGCCATCTCTCTGGAGGACAGGCCTCTGTTCTCCATTTGGGATCCTGACTTGTTATTTGGGATTTGTTTTCCTAAGTTGCTTCTAAACCACACAACCTTGTAAGAATGACAAAATCTTCCAGGAAAACATGTCGGTATTATTATTACTTCAAAACTTCACAAACCCTAAGGAAAAACTGTGTGCCCTGACACAGTGGAAATGGACATTCGGGGGGAACGAGAGGTTTAAGGCCTGGGGCCACCAGCTAGAGAAAAACAGACCGATTGTAAAGAGCAAACTGCAACAAGGCCAGTGTTCCTGCTAATGTTCTCCTGATCCACCATGTGACACGGGGCAGGGCTGCCCAAGAGACCCTCTTGCACCTTCCTGCCTCTGGAGACTGCCGTGTGGACGAGTGAGATTTACCCACGTGCCCAACTAAATTTATTGAGCACCTGCCGTGAACACATTTGTTGCATGAAGTACTGTATGACGTAATTTAAAAGGAGGGAGAAGACAGGTACATAAATAGATACATTTGGGGCAAAGTTTTGAGCTGGCCTTTGACACTGAGTAGGACTCGGATAGGCAGGAGGCACAGAGAATTCCAGGTGGAGAAGTGACCTGAGCAAAGAAGGCAGCAGGGAGTTGAGCGTGTTTGTGAGGAACGGGAAATACTCGAGTCTGTGTGAAACACGCGGACTGGCGCTGGGCGTGAAGCTGGGAGGTGGCCCTGGCTGTGTTAGGAAGCATCTTGCGTCCCGGACAGAGGGATTCGGGGCTCCTCCCAGGGCCAGAGGGCGGCTGGGATGGTCTTTGCGGATGGAGAGTGTGATGCAGTGTCTGCTGGGAGCCCTGTCCCAGCTGGAAAAGGTCCATGGAAAGCAACATTGATGGTGCCGTCCTCCAGAAATGCTTTGGATAGAAACGTGACTTGAGACTTTCTGCGCCGCGAGTCAGGAAGTGGGTCTTTGGAAGAACCCTGGGTGGTCTGTGGTCTGGGGGCGCTTCCATGAACCTCACAGTGAAGCGATGAAGGAAGCCCCCAGGTCTTTATCAAAGGGCAGTGCGAACCCTCCGCGGGACGAACCTAATGAGCTTTCTTCCGGATGTTTCCATGATGGACGGTTCATTGCCAACGCGCAATGCCACCTGCCTCCTCTGATGGTCATGTTCTCAATATGACTGCAGAAACTGTGGTTTAAGAACGAAATGGTTTAAAGTACAGACCGTGCAGAACAGAACACTTGAGAGGATTCTTTGTTTCCCAGTTAGGCGTGCGTGTGCCCGTTAGGTCCTTTTAGGCTCTCTGCTCCTCCTCATTTGATTTTTAAAGTGTACCCTTGGTATAGGGTCAGTACAACCCCAAGGCCCAAATACGATACCTCTTCACGAGCCCCCACACACTTACAGCAGAAACATTATATGCTGAAATGTAAGTGCTCTCATTATCCTGCTGTATATTCGGGGAGGTCAGCTAAAAAGCCTCGGTCTTATTTTCTGGAATTCCCTTGGACTGAGAGAGGCGGGTAATAAGAGACGGGAGGACATTCATGGAAAGTGCCATGCAGCCATTAGTGTCCAGAGAGGGAATTTGAGAATTGCCTCTGTGGTAAGGAAAGTGATTTATTTTGGGAGCTCGCAGAGCCAGGATTGCTGTGGCCCAGGCTGACGTTAACTAACTGTGTGACCTAAGGAGACCCACTTAACCTCTCTGTGACTTAGCATCATACTTGGCAAACTGGTGACAAGTCTCTCTTCCTCTGCCTGCCTTGCAGGTTGGGAGTTCAAAAGAGCACTATGCGTGGACCAGCTTTGAAGAGCAGAAGATATGAAAAGGACTCTGTAGATGACCGGCAAACGTTCAGAGATGGTTTCCAAATCATCGTGGGCTTCTTGCACATGGTTGGCAGAAATGATTGTGTCAGCCTGGAGGTCACTGCTGTTTCTCCTTCAGGTGTCCTTTAGACAATGTTGTCACACCTCAGAGCTGCCACCTAACAATGAGCACCTCAGAAGGGGTGACTGTGACGGCCGTTTGATGGTGAGCCTCGGGCAGCGTGCAAACGGAGAGGAGCGTAAGGATGAGAGGAAGCTGGATTACTCCGAGGGAGGGAAGACCAGGCCGGTCCGGGGTACCTGCCCTGACCTTGTGTCTCAGTACTGTGCTTCGTGCCATTTGCAGACACTGCCCAATCCCGCAGTGTACGTTTATTACACAGTATAAACTGTCCTACAGAAATATAGAAAAAGCGAGAATGAGAAAGCCATGCCATGTACTGGGCCACTTTCGAGAGGGAGGAGGAAGGCAGGCTGTGGGCAGAGAACACGCTATGTGAAGCCATCAGGCCGCTTGGTTCCAGTTGAGTCTAGAAGGAAGGAGAGCTTGCATCATTTCTACAGGTCAGACTGCTGTCAGGATTGGGATGTGTTCTTTTTCAATCCTGAGTGTTAAAAAAAACCCAACACCCCAAGTTTTCAAAATATCTATTGAGCACCTACAAACCACCAGCCCCACAATCTCCCTTGCCGATGATGTGTCCGAGGGCACGCGCAGCGGAGGTTCAGGGAAGGACTCTGCAAGAGATAGATGCTCGGGCGCCCCGGGGTGCAGGAGGGCCCTGCTCGCCTCCTGGGCCATAACAGAGGCAGGAGACAGGACAGGCCGACTTTCCTGGGGTCGGAAAGACCAAAACAGCTCTGAGGATGTGGAAGATTTAATGCATTTTTTTTTTTTTTTTTTTGCAAAGCAATGCCCTCCTCCCTGGGGCGATCAGGTAAACACAGAGCTTCGAAAGGCTGAAGGATAAAACTGGATGACATTCGCCTGCCTTCCTCTGGTCCACGTCTAATGTGGTATTTTGACAATTTAAATTAAAATAATAAGAGGTCATCTTAACAGATCTGAAATGAGGAATTTAGAGAAACAATATTTAATATGACGAGTTCTATTTCTCACGTCAGATTTGTTGTTTTCTAATTGCTGGTGCGCTCAAACTCAGGCAGCTGCCTGCAAGGGGCGATCATTTGCCTGAAAATCTATGGGGCAGAGGCACGTGGGGAGGAGCATTTATTCCCAGGCAAAGAAAAATGTGCTCTTCAAACCCATTAGAGGTGGATGCTGTTATTTTTAACCTCCTGAACTGCAGAATTGCCGTCAAAGCTGCAGCCAGGATTTACAAGACGGGCTCCGTGGCCTCCT